TGAATGACAACCTCAGCTGGAGCAACAACACCACCAGCCTGATCAAGAAACTCATCAGAGACTCTACTTCCTCAGGCGGCTGAGACGAGCTGGTCTGGGAAGCTCAGTCCTCACCTCCTTCTACAGGTGTGCAGTGGAGAGCATCCTGTGCTCCAGCATCAACGTGTGGCATGGAGGCTGCACAGCTGCAGAAAGAAAAGCTTTACAGAGAGTGGTGAAGGCTGCACAGAAGTCTGTTGGAGTCAGTCTCCCCACCATCACAGACATCTACACCTCCAGATGCAGTAAGAGGGACACCTGCATCATGAAGGACCCCACTCACCCAGCACTCACACTTTTTGCCCGCTCCCCTCCGGAAGGAGGTTGAGGAGCATTAAGTGTAGAACCACTAGACTGAGGAACAGCTTCTACCCTGAGGCTGTTAGACTCATGAATATCTAACCAGAATAATCACTGTGAAAAAAATCACATAATATCGCTGCTGATCTGTTTCATGTTGCTGCTGATCTGTTTCATGTTGCTGCTGATCTGTTTCATGTTGATGTGTTCATGCGTGCTCATCTTCTCACACAGACTTATGCTCATGTTCGTGCTGCTGTTCGACGTAATGTTTTTATGCTATTAGTGCTTAGTGTATTTTTAGTTGATGTTTTTCTTAGTTCACATATTAGATGTTATCATTGTTTTTCTTTTATATTTTATTGTTGGATATAACTGGGATCCTGTGTACACAATTTCACTCCACCACATGTACCACATGTGGTGCGAATGACAAAGAATCTCTGACTCTGAATTGTGTTGTATGCTTGTGTGACTTATTTTTGACTAATTTATCTCCATACATGCCAGAGTAAATGATGAGGGTTGTGTCAGAAAGGGCATCTGGCGTAAAACCCTTTTGTCCACACAAAGAAGAGGAACGAAAGTCAGCAGTAGTGATACAAGAGTACTTACGTGTGTGTATGAGAGGGAGACAGGTGGAACTGTGAGGCTACACGAATCGGAGGTCACAAAGGTGCAGGACTTCAAATAATTACTGTCAACTGTCCAGGAAAACAGGGAGTGTGGTAGAGAGGTGAAAAAGAGAGTCCAGGCAGGATGGAGTGGATGGAGAATAGTTTCAGGAGTGATTTGCAACAGAAGGTCAAAGAAAAAGTTTACAAGTTGTGAGACCAGCTATGTTGTATGGCCTGGAGACAGTGGCATTGACTAAAAGACAGGAGAAAGAACTGGAAGTTGCATAAATGAAGATGTTGAGGTTCTCCTTAGGAGTGACAAGGATGGATAGGATTAGGAATGAGATCACCAGAGGTGCAGCACAGGTTGAACAACTGGGAGATAAAGTTAGAGAGACCACAATGAGATGGTTTGGACATGTCCAGAGGAGGGACAGTGTGTATATTGGTAGAAGGATGTTAGATATGCAGCTGCCAGGAAAAAGACAAAAAGGAGATATATATTGGATTTTGTTTGCATATGTACTTATAATGAAAAAAAAAAAAAAAAAGGAACAAATAAATGTGTTTATAGTTTGCTTTTAAAGTAGATTATGAATTGGCTTTCCAAATTAAAAATGGGGTTGTGAGTAGAGTTGAACAGAAAACACCCAACAGATGGTAGTGCTGTTGACATCACTGCGCACAAACTGGCTGACTCAGAGGATCACCTGTCCTTTCTAGTTACTTAAAAAAAAAGTTTTATTTTGAAAACAATCAACGTCATTTCCGCTGTTGTGTGTTGTTGTAGGCAGCTTGACGCAGTTCACCCTCTGCAGCGCCTGCGTCTCTGCACTTCCAAACGTGAACGCTTCCAACTCAACCAGAAGCAATGTCCGCCAGAACCTGGTGGGCGGGTTTCCTGGGCTCACAGGTCATCGTGTTCCGAGGTCTTTGTTGATGCAGCACCACCTTAGCTGCTCAGCTGGCAACATGAAACTTGATGCCAAGAATTATATACATATATATTTAAAGCAGGAGATGCTGCTGCATCTCGTGCTGTTTAAATGAAAGAGGACGCAGGGCAAACTAATTAACACTAACTAAAATATCAAGTAACGGATTCGTTAAAAAAGTGTTTATATTGTATGAGTACTAGTAAAGTAGCTTTAAACATGTCTATCATGAATTCGAAAGCAAATGTTAGTTCTAAAATATACTACCATCAACATTTTAAAACAAAAAAAATGAGAGGAAACTATTTTAAAACCATAAATTTTCAAAACACATTGTTGTTTTGTCACGCACAGTGACGTAATGACGTTCAGCGTAGGAGCGCTGGTTTTTGTTCTCGAGTTGAACCGCACCGCTAAAATAGATGCCTTTTTAAAATTACTTATCTCTATTAGTGTGTTGTTGTTGTTTTTGCAGAAACCCCACTTCTAAACTAAATGATCTTTAAAAAGTTTTATAATTATATAATCCAATTTATTTATATTTACTTTTCAAGGCTTTACACGTAATAAAAATCTTGTGAAATTTAGTATCGACCTCACGAAGTAGTTTGTACGAATGAATACATTTTTTATTTTGTATTAGATATATGAAATCACGTCGTGGAGCGGAGGAAAAAGTACACTTTTAAACTGCTGGAACTTTTTGTGCAGATTTTTTTTTACTCCGGTAGGTCTGGTAACATAAATCGAGCGAGCCCCATGTCCATTGAAGGGACGTTAGAAACCCGACCTGGAACGTTGATCGACGAATGGACAGAAAACATGGACGACCAGCGGGACGTTCAAATATCCAAACGGGGCAGCAGCTCCAAGTCGTTTATATCCGCCGGCTCTGCAGTGGGTATGGAGATTAAGCGAAAGAAAATACGAGAAAGCGCCTTGTTCTTACATACAGAGGTACGTTTTTCTGTGTTTTTCACATCAAAGACTGAATTCAACTGTCAGGTCATTTTTACGCCGGAGAAGGTTTAAAGTACAAAGCGTAAACCAGCCAATATATAAGCTTTTATATTTTTATATTATATGACTTCGTCTGCTTTGCTTATTCAATACGCTGTGCTTTTATTTCCCCCAAATATTCCTCAAAATTCATAAAAAGCAATTCTAGTTTTCACTTCCTGAAACTTGAGCCTTTCTTAAATTTGTGCAAAACGTCTTTTTTCCCCCTCTAGCACCGCTTAATAAATGTGTTTTTTTCGGGTTTTAAACATGAAACAACCGTCCGGTGTTCTAAGTGACACTCTGCAGTAATATTTTATTAATCTTGCACAATAAATCAGTTAGACCTTTGGAACTTGGGGCGCTGAAGGTGCTGCAGCGCCCTCTTGTGGAGCAAAAGAAAACCACGTTAGAAATAAAATAATGAAGCATGAGTAAACCAATACAAAATACCTATATGATCTAGTGTTATGTCAGTTTAAAATCCATACATACATATTTTCTTGGGAGAAATTTAATTCCTGTTTGGTTGCAACGCCTCCTTTAGGCTGGTTTAGTTAAAAAAAAACCTTCAAATCCATCACTAGTCGAACATTTGTTATACATCGTCAGGTTTATTGGGAAGCTTTTTTTGAAGACTCGCTGTGTTTTTTTTGCAGCCCATTCATTCAGTAATTGGAAAATGTCTCGTTTTTGTTTCCTCCGTGAAGAACACTAACGTACAAGAGAAGCTCGACTTTGAGAAGCGAATGCGTGAGGGGGCCTACAAGCTGCTGCTCGCCTGCAGTAAACGAGAGCAGGTTCTCAGCGCTTCCAAAAACCTGCTGACCTGCAACGCCAGGATAAAGGCTTACCTCGCACAGCTGCAGAGGAACAACGAAGAACAGGACATGATAAGAGCAGAGAAGAGGTAAGGTCTACTGAGGACTGTGGTGTGCAAAGATTAAAAACTGTTTGCAACCCTCACGGGGAAGTGTTTTGAAGAAAGTTACTGTTTTTGCAGCTGAATTCAAGTGATTCGTTGTTCTCACTGTGTTACAGATCTGCAGATGGTCGTTTGCCTTGCCATGGGACCATTGCTGTGACTGGTAACGACGTTGTTTGAGTTAAAATCACATTGAATATTTCACATACACAATCAGATGGATATGAATGTTTGGGGTACTGCTAAGAAAATTAACTTTTCGTGTTTTCTCTAACGTAGGGCTGAGATTTCCTCTCTTGTGGAGGGATTCTGACCACTTTAATAACAAAGGGAGTATGTCTGGTTTTCCTTGTCTAACATTCACGGCCTATACGTTTCCATCTTGTTTTTAATGCTTCCTGCTGTAACACCTCATGCTCCTCTCGTGTTTGGTAGGCTCTCGTCGGGTGGCGGTGTTCTGTCTGATGCAGATTGGCTCCGAGGTGTTTGACACTGAGATGGTTGTGGTGGACAGATCCATCACTGACGTCTGCTTTGAAGGAGTCACCGTCTTGTAAATGATTTATACATCTTATATTTGCACAGCTGTAGAGTATACTGCAGGATTTACTCAATGAATGCGCAACATTAATTATCAGTAAACATAAATCTGAGGTTAGGAATGTCTTTCCGTTTTAGTTGGTTAATCTAAATCCATCGTGGGGTGTTTAGATTTTCATACTTGTGGTTTGTTTTAAATTCTTTCCCCTCAGTAAAGACTCAGTTCCTGAGTTTGATCTGAGAGTGGAGCTGTGGAGCTGCTCCCTGGAGGAAGAGCTCCCTTTGGTCAAAACACCAAAGAAACTGGCCAAGAAGCTCCGCAGCTCTTTTGGAAAGAGCGCTGGAAAGAAGTTCTGCTCTCTGGTGGACACTCCAGATCCGGACACCTTCCTGCAGACCAACCCGATCCCCCCGTACGTGATGCGTTCTGCAACACACAGTCACTTGGCTTTGTATTTTATTTTTTTTAATAGTCTGGAACTGATTTGACAGTGAAGGAAAAAGGGATGCACTTGAAAGAGTTGTGATCATGTTTAGCGTGTGCATTTAATCAAGGTTAAATACATATTTGTAGTTAAGACTTCAGATATCCATCAATTATTTTGCACTAATAAACAGAGCCAAAAGATTGTTGTAGTGTTCCGATTTCAAGGTGGAAAAAAAAAAAAAAAACATACTTCACGGCGTTTAGAGCATCAAGTTAGAATCTGTGGTGCAAAGTTTATACAGTTTGTTCTCAGATGATTTTATTTGGGTCAGAGCTAGGCCTGTCTCGACAACAAATTTTGCTGGGCGATTAATTGTCTCAGAAATTATTGCGATAAACGATAATATTGTTTGAAATTTGACAATAATTAGTAATTATTGTCAAATTTAAGAAGAAATGTTGGTTGATTTTTGGGTGTAGTACCTTATTTGACCACTGGATGGCAGTATAAGACAGTTTGAACCAAAAGATGGATAGTGAGGGAGCGAGCAGCGTTTCTAAGAAAAATGGGAGGGAAGCCTCTTGACGTGACATGGGCTGTCTCTCCTTACTTTTTTCGGTTCTCAAAATGGCGGACGTTCGGTGTAGTTTGAGCTCTTTAGCATAGCATTTTTCACACAAAGCTTTTAATAAAAAAAAAATCAGTAAACAAGTTCTCAGCTTCTTTTTGCAGAGGAAAAACAATTTTTTACATGAAAGCACAAGTTTCAACTGTGAATATTGGAGCTTTGACCAGACGGAGGTTTTTTTCCCCGAGGTCGGCCTGTTAGCTTAGCTCGTAGCTTAGCTTCTCAACTTAGCTGCTTGTAAAGATCCCAAAATGCGATTTTGGACGGTTAAAATGGATTTTAAAGAGAAAGGGAGGGGTCAGTGAAGAGCACCGGAGTTGAGCTTTTTGTCATCCAGTGTCTTCAGTAGAAAGAGACACAAAGAAACGATAAAGCCAATAAATGAAAATGAGGTTGATAATTTTCATTTATCATGCGATTAATTGATTTATTGTTTATTGCGACAGGCCTAGTCAGAGCTAAAGTCTAAGTTATTTTTCTAGAAATGATTGTGGACGTCTGTGCCTAAAGAAAGTTAAACTGTGTTTATGTGTTCACCTGTAACCAGAGGAGCCAGGTACAGCCTGCTGGCCTACACAACGCTGGGTCTGCCTGATGCTGACAGCAGCTTTCAGTCTCACTCCCTCATTGTCTACCAAGATGGTAAGAAGCAGCAAAATGGATATTAGAACTTTTATTAGAGTTCACAGATCCAGCCACTTCCATGGAAATGAGAGATTTTTTATCAATTGAGCTGAAAGTGAAAAAATGAGCAAAATGTGTATATATATATATATATATATATATATATAAAAAAAAAAAAAAAAAAAAAAAAAAAAAAAAAAAAAAAAAAAAAACGTCACACCGATATCGTAAAGTAAAGTGCGTGCTTGGATCTTTATTATTTTGCTCAAATTTTCCAAACAAACCTTTTTATATGAATTTGTGCTGTGATTCATGAATGTTCTAGTCCACACAGTGCATCTTTTCAGGTTTTAAACAGTCAACACATAAACTTTATTACACTTGACTAACTGCGATGAGCTAAATGTTTAATTTTTTTTATGATTATTTTATTGGGATCATTAATGTCAGACCTCTTTCTGGTCTCTGCTGCTCTTCGTCCTTCCAGCTGAGTGGTCGTCTTGGCTTCCTCTTTACGGCAACCTCTGCTGCCGGTTAGTCGTGCAGCCGACTTGTATGACACAGAACATGATGACGGGTTATTTGAGTCAGAAGGTGTGTTTGCTGCTTTTATCACATCCACGAGCTCCGTCGCTGGTTCCTGGCTTGGACTGGGTAGTCACTGTGTTTATGTTTCAGCAAAGTGTGGAGGGAATGAGCCGCTGCTGCAGTCTGTTCTGCGTGCTGAGCGCCGGCTTTTTGTCCTGTTACTTCACTCCGGAGGAAATTGATGCTAAAGTGCAGCCCGCTCTTAATGTGCCCATCAACAAGGTAAGAGAGGGGATCGTGAATAAAGAGAAAAGCAAGTTAACCACAGTTTTTGTTCATGTTAATACATTATTTTGATTAGGTTTATCTGAGCAGAGGAATTTTCAAATTGCAAAAGCAGCAAATTACTCATCTTTGTTCAGCTCTTTCCTTTAACCTTTGCAGACTGTCCAAAATACAAAACGCCACATTCATCACCGAGATCTTGATTTATCGTTGCTATTTTGTTGTTGAAGCTATCCCTTTTTTGCGTAATTAGCAATGTGTGTTTTTTCTTACACAGATCTCGTTTATACAAACTGATTTTCAGCCTGTGATATTTCAAGGATCTCGTTTTTGCAGGAGACCAGGATCCACGCGCTGAGCAAAGCGTCGGCGGGCCTCAAATCCAAGAGTCTGTCCATCATCAACTCTTCACCTGAGGGATCTCAGAGCGTCGTCTTCGTCGCAGACAGCAGGGACGAGCTGGACGAGTGGCTGGACGCCCTCCACCAGCATCTCTATGACCAGAGTAAGTGTGTTTTTATGAGAAACACAATAGCACAATTATTTAATAATTGCTGTGACTGGGTCATACCAGATTGTATTGTGGCCTCTGAAGTCCTCTGAGCAGGAATGAACAATGTAACTTTTTTATCAGCGTGTCTCATGTCCATCATTGTTTATGGCCAGGCCAGTGGCTGCACTGCTGCAACCGGCTAATGAAAATCGAGCTCTCATCGCCGTGGACTCCGTCTCTTTTCCTCACCAAGCAGGCTGACTCGGTTTACAACGACCTCAGTGAGTAAAACGATAAAAGGAAGCTGATAATTCGCTGACTCTTGTTGAAGGTTTTACTGGATTTGTATTTAATTTAGAAAAATACCGCCTCGTGCAAATGAAACGTAAAAATATCCTATTAGCTATGCACAGAATATCTCACTCCAATGATGATGCATGCAAATAAAATCCTTTTACATGCAAATTAGAAAACAGAAATGTGCGTTTGTGTCCTTTTTGAGTTATTTTCTGCTTCTAACAGTTTATCCGCCGTAAAAAGGAGCTGATTTATTATTCTTCTGTTTGCATGTAATTTAATTTTCACTTCTCGTTTCTTGCAGGTATAACCTCTCCTAGCAAGTTTGAGAGCATCACAGATATAATTCACAGCAAAATCGAAGAGACCGATGGTCACTTCCTTATTGGTCAAGAGGAGAGGGCGGAGCCTCCTGACTGGTCCGCTCTTTTCAATGGGTCCCGTTCAGTGATGGTGGAGAAGAGTATTCTGTCCCAGAGCAAAACCTCCACCCCTTGTTCAAGCCCGAACCGCAACGCCAGCTCTACGCCTCTCAGCAGCAAGAAGCGGCGTGCTCCACCCCCGCCCTCCGACATGAAGCCTCCTGCTCCCCCGACCCGTCCACCCAAACCACCACTCCCTGCTCCGTTGCACCGTCCCCCTCCTCCCTCATCCCAGGAGAAGGAGAACTCTGCCACTTGTGCTTCTCGTCCAGCCACAAGGTCTAAAACAGGCCGTCCGTCTCTAGACGCCAAGTTTTCTGCCATCATCCAGCAGCTCCAGAGGAACAACGCTGGCGGCACGGCGACCCTCAGCCGAAAGAACGCCCCGCTGGCCGTCCTCGACGTTCACCCGCAGGGTCCGCCTCAACCTTCGCTCAAGCAGCTCGACCATGAAAACCACAACCGTCAGACATCTGAGGACACAGCTGACGGTGGGTTTGTCAGAGCTGGTCCAGGTCCGCACAGCAAACTGAGGAAGTCCTTCAGAGACAGAATGAACCTGAAAGCCATGTAGCCTCAACTTTAACCAAATCTATATTAGTCTTAAACACCACTAACACAAATAACTATATATATTTTTATTTTTATAACTGAGCCGAGTAATATGAATAAAATTGAATAACTGTACCTCAGTAATGACTCAGCACATGTCATTAAAAATAAGTTTAACAGCTTTAAAACCAAGAACTGGATGGAAAAATAATTTCACTAATATCTGTTTAAACCTGCAGACAGTCTGAATAGAAACATAGGACAGTCAAAATGACAAAAGTTTTTAGATGAATGTAGCCTAAAGTTTAACATGCAGGAGGTAACCCACAGCCTCACCATCATCAGCCCATCTAGAACAGAAACGCTTACAGTATTTCTTTTCTTTGGCTACTGGAACATAAACTGAGAGAAAGAGCTTCTGCAAAAGCACTCAAATTAGAATTGATCCATCGGCGAACAGCGGGCGAGTCATTACTTTAGGAACTATTGACATCTTCCACTTACTGTGACGACTTTATGACCACTATAGCTCATTTTAAAGAAACACAATTTTAGGAGCAATTGTAAGCACTAATGTGACTTCTCCATCCCGCTCCCCAGAGCTCTTTTAATAGAGTGACCTTGTTTTTAGTGGCTGCACAGTACGTCTAATATAATTTACCACAGCAGCCAATAAATGCTCCCAACATAATTGAATGAATGGGTCTTTTGAGTGGCCTAAATAATGAATGCCCTTGTGTATTTGTTTTGAACATAGCCAGCCACTAAATATTTCAGCCACTTAATGGTATTGTGTTGAATAATAGTCATAATTACGCACGACAAAGAAAACATTAGGTTCTGCTGCCTTTCTTTAAAACTACCTGACTGATGAAGCGATGCAGAGAGAGCTAGAGGCTGCTTTTCTCGTGCCGTCCTCCAAACTGGATCAAATTTTAGAAAGAGGTGTAGACTTGTGTGGAGGATTTAGTTAAAGCCTTGGAGGAGGGAAAGAGGATGAAGACGAGATCTCGGCTAAATATTAAGCGTGCCAGATGTTCCGTTTTACTTTTACCGTAAAGATTTGAAAGACTTTACAAGTGATCAAAAGAGAAGTATGGTGATACTCTGCTTCCTCTAAAAGCAACTAATATGTCTACAGACATATTTGAATGGATCTTTACATTTTTTTTATTGATTTTGAACCAATAAGTAGACAAATTTAATGCTGTCCTTGTAAATCCAGTTTAGTGCAATGTAAACGTATATGTAATTGTAGTTATTGTTTCTCTAAAGTGCAATTTCTTTCATTTCTCAGCTTTTTTTTTTTTTTAATAGCCGATCTGCAATAAAATGACCTACTTTCCACCGTGGTGAGGCCGCTTTATTGTTTTTTTTGCTGAGCTCAGAAGTATTTCCGAATATTTTTCACGTTAAAAGTTTACCAGAGGGTGGCAATAAAAGTCAAAGCATCGCTTTTTATTGCAGCCCGATTCACATCCCATGGAGCTGCAACATGCACCGGCACATTTCTCCACTGCAGCAAATACGGGTGAGGCTTCTTTGGCGCGGAGCCCAGAAGTGGCCTGTTGTGAAGATTAAGCCGGGTGGAATCTCATAGTCACATAATAGTATTACAATAATAAACCCTCATTCACGCTGCATTTACTCCGAGGAGTAAAAAGAACAGTGCACTGGTGTTGCATGTAAAAACGCTCACTGTGTGCAGTTAAAAACAACCGAAGAAACAAATATAGTAAAATATTTTAATTAAATATACACGTCATATCGTACAAAATGTCTTTTTTTTGTTGTTGTTTTGCACGCCAGCTGGATGATTGGTAAACAGATGGCTATGGTATCAAAAAACAGTTTCAGAATGCACATTAATGGAGACAACACAAACAAAAAAAAAAAAAAAAAGAAGTATCCTAACTTGTAATTTGTAGTGTTTGAGGGTGAAACGGAGCAAATAGACAGCTAGTTTGTGTAACCGATTTTTATAACGTCTTTAACTATTTACAGATTATAGCAGTTTATCTAACCACGCAGTCCTATCTACAGAGCTATTTACACAGAAAGTAAGAGAAGAGATTCAGCGTGAGTTGATCCCGTATGGATGTTCTGTACAGAATCCAGCACTAAAAGCCAGTTTTACCTACACAGCAATGTACAGTACTTAATCAGAAATTAATGTCTTTAGGCATTTTTTTTAAATTTTTATCTTTCTTCTTTTGAAACCCCAGAATAGTTCTGTGTATTTCGTCTACCCTGGACTGCAATTATAGTGGTTGTAAAAGCCAACGCAGGTGTTGTCTTTCCACCCCGGGCTAAATGGAGCACGGTAGGCAAACTTTATAGTTTGGTACCTTTTATCACTGCATGCTCTGCAGAGACAGACACCAGACTTGTGTCTATCAGCGGTTGTTAAATATGTGCTATTGTTTGCATCGACACAGTTGAGCTGGGCAAAATAAGTTCTGGTTTATATTTTTAAAAGTCTGGTCTTTACAGTGTGCCATACAGTTTTTTTTTCTTCTGTGCACTGCTTTTGACACACGTGACAGTAATAATGACATTCCTACTCTGCTACTGAGAAATAACCTTAACGAGTGTAGTGCTAACTCTAATCTGAGACTGTGAAAGGCACAGATATTTGCAAAGCAGTAATATCTTAAGTGACAACATTCCTATCAAATCATATAATGAATCCTTTCAGGGCGCTGAGTACGAGAAGAGAGCTTTTCAAGTCAAGAACAAAAAGATGAAATGCTGATTTCTCTTTTTTTTTTTTTTGTTAGCAGTGAGCATTCCACAGCAGACGGCTGCTTCATTATGCCGCTTCAACAGACAAAAACAAGCCGCAACAGTGTACTCATCACAAAAATGTTCGGAGGTTAAATTTAGAAAGTTAAAAAATAAAAAATGATGCCAGCTTTTCATTACCTCTGAGCAACCACACATTCATGGTTCGTCAACTGGTTCTGTTCAATTTGAAAAGACATAATGAAAACAAACCTGAACTGAGCCACGAGTGAGTCTACAGTACATCTGTCATGTGCAGCACCTCTGAATGTTGGGATGAAACCATTCGTGTTCAGCAGCACCACAGCGAGTGTTGACGTTTACTCCAGTCAGTCCAAATGGGTTTTATTGTGGCACAGACAAGCAACAGAGTTCAGCTTGGAGACATGTAAACATACAACTCCCCCCGGCTGCCTAAACAGTAATAACGTGTTAATCAGCAACACATTTCTACTTCTGTAAGCTGTTCTGTGTTTCGTTGTCATGTTGCTTGTAGTGTTTTTAGGCAACAACGTTTAGCCCTCAGACCCAGTAAACAAATGGCTTTTCTGTCGCCATCCACGTCTCACACATCCAGAGCAACGACCTGACTCCGATCTGCGAGCATCTACACATGGGATTTGTGCAAATAGGAATACAAAAGCGAGAACAAAAAGTACAGTAAGTGGCGATACAAATACAGAACAGTGCAAAGTATATAAACAAAGGCATATGCAAATTTTTTAAAATGGAATTTTCAGCCCAACAAAGTGATGAATTCATCAGTTCATCAGTATTTTGTCCTCGACAACGAGATTTAAAAAAAATAAGAGGCGGACGCGGTTTTTCTGTTTTGAAAGTGAAGTTGAGCAGTTTTTGTCCCTCACAGTCTGGTGCTGGGGTGTACCGATGACAGCTGGGGTGGTGGGAGGGTGGAGAGAGGGTAGAGGTGGTGCAACAAGTCCCCGTACAGCGACGCCCCACCTGGCTGTCTGTAGAAGTGGTGCGGGCTGGGGCTGGAGGCCAACAGCTGCCTGTGGAGCATCATGGAGTGGATGGCAAACGAGGGCACGAGGGGGGACACGGCCGACTGGCTTTTCAGGTACTGCAGACTTGGGTGCTGCTGGAGCCCGTCCTGAGCGCCCGGTGACACCAGGGTACCGTGGGGGTAAATACCAGCGTAGAGGGGCGCAGCGTGATGTGGGGGGAAGGAGGTTGTAGGGTGGCCTTCGGGTAGATGATTGTTGAGGTGAATGGCAAGAGCCGGCTCTGCGGGTTTCAGCTCCTCCGGGTCGCTGCGTCGGATTGTGCTGGCAGGATGGATAGGTGTCACTACGCGCACTTTACGTTCTGGGGGATTGTCGCTCTCGGGTTCCGCGAGGCTTCGCTTACTGGGTCGAATAGAAGTACTGAGGGGCAGGTCACCTGAAGCTTTGGAGCTAGGAAACGTCTGTGACTGCTCAGATGAGCTCTGTTTGGGGGGAGAGATTGTCATAGGTGTAACTCTGCATGCTTTAGGATGGGAATCCAAACCATGATGCATGATGGGATAGGAGAGACCACAGAAAGGAGTCTTGGAGAAGGAGGAAACCCTCTGCGAGAGAGGCTTTGAAATGGTGAAGTCTCTGGGCTCGTCCTCGGCCTCTCCGTTCTCTCTACGTGTTTGAGTCCTGTCACTGTAGTGAGACCTGTAGGCCAAGCCCTCCTGCTCCAGGCTGCCACAGGTAAAGCTTTGACTGCCCTCACGGTCCCTGCGATAGTGCTCTCTCCGCTCTCCACTGCTGAAGCCAGCCATCCTCTCTTGGCTCAGGCAGCTCTCAGTTTGTCTGTATAAGCTGTGGAGGTGAGGGGAAGAGTAGCAGTCGCCTGCATAGCTCCTGGACTGAGCGGCTGGGCCTTGGAGTAACTTCTCCTCAGTGGTTTCCACGCCGTCTTGGGTCTGAATTTGGGGGAGGTACGGCTGCCACGGCACACTGGATTGGGACTGAATGTGATGGCTTGTCCGGCAGCTGTAGGCGTCTGACGCCTCCCCGACAGTGCTCCTCTCTGACTGCCCACCCGTGCTCTGTTGGTGAGCCTTGCTGCTCTGGGCATGCTGGATGACCGATGGCCTAAATATGGGGGCTACCTCGAGGACGCTGTCGGACAAACCGTTGCGTCTCTGCCTCACCACCTCCTCTTCACCTTTTCTCTTCTCTTTCTCATGTTCGGAAACCAATACGACCGGGAGAGAGGAGATGGCTGTGGGAGGTGGAGACTGCAGAGAAAAGGAGTAAGCATTAGAATCGCACACTTGGGAGAGGAGCTTCTTTTTGGCCAAAGGAGACATGACCCCCTGGCTAGCTTTGCAGTAGGCAGCTGTCTGTCCAGAGCCCTGGGTAGACTCCTTCTTAATCATACCATAGTCCTCTTTCTCTGGGAAAGAATCTGAGCTCAGGTCTAAACACTGTTCATCTGCCTGCTTACACATCGGCAGCACCTTGCCCACTCTCCCGCCGTGATTTTCAATGGAGTCTTTGACCTTAGAGAAGTGCTCAGGCAGAGCAACGTGCACAGCAGGTTTAGTCTGATCCCAGCGATGAGGCAGGTAAGGATGTTTTGGAATGAAGTTCCCTTCGGTTTGCTGTTCGCCGACGAGTTTCGCTTTGAGGGCCTCACTGATTTGCCTCCATTCAGGTTGAGGAGAAGGACCCGTGCGGAGGGAGAAACCTCCATGTGGGGTTCTGCAGTCAAGTGAGGGTGGCTGCTCCTCCGTCAGCGACTCCTCTTTCTTCAGGGTGAGATGCAACTCTTCCTCCTCTATTACAATCGGTTCATCTTGGAGAGACGACTCCTTTTTCACGGCTATGGAGAGTTCGTCATTCACGTCTTTCTCCATCGAGTCCTGCTTAAAGAAGAAATGTACCTGTTAGTATTGATACATCAAACAGCGCATCCAGACACTTTCATATTCTTGGCCTAATTTCATAAGTCAAATAAAAATCTTAGGGGCAGAAAGATTCCTGATGAGGCAGCAGTTGGGACTGACCTGTGTTTGTTCTGCTTTTGTTTCTCTTTTGTCCTTTTTACTCCCTAACTTGGAGCCTTTCAGTTTCTTGGCCACAACTGATTTTGTTTTGGCTCCAGCTGCAGATGTCTTCTCTTGGCTGCTCTCCTGCTTCCTGGGTTTGGTCAAGGGGAGGGGCATGTCCTGCTCACCTTTAAGGTGCCTCTCGTAAGGAAGGAGGAGCCTAATGAGGAAACAAAAACGCAGGCGATGAAAAGATGAAGTCATATCATGCCACATTTATGGGACACAGTTAATTATCTGCGTCATTACACTGCCACTTTTATTTTTACTTAGAAAATCATTTAACAAATTAAAAGCCTACAATTCCTTGAAAAAATGCATATCGCCTGCTTCCTTTAAGCCAGAGTTTTAGACTAGAATCATCTTTGAGGAATGACACAGTTATAGCTATTTTGTCTGACCTTTTAATTAACTTAATGAGCAATTTCACGAGTTATCTTTAATGATCTGTTAGAACTTGGGATTGTGTTTGAACGACTGTCGGGTACTACCACACCAAACTTTAGCTCCGTATCTGTAGAACTAAGTTATGTTTGTGTTGGCTAATATCGCATTGCTGTGGTGGCCATTTTGAATTTGGATGAATCTAAACATTATTCAGTTGTACACCCAATGATTAGTTTCCTAAAGTTTCAATATGATTCATTCAGTGGTTCGTGAGATGTTTTGCGAATGGTACAAACAACAACACACAAAAGTATTATTGCTCCACCTTCGACTTAACAAAAACAGTATAAACATATATCTTAATGTATCGACACTGAGTTATAAAATGTGAAATATTTAAGTATTTTTCTTTTGTTTTTGAAATACCAAAACTAGATGCAACCATGTGTTGTATTATTTACTTTGTTTTTAAACGGCATTGTTTTAAAACCTGGAAAGCATTAACAGTTATTGTCATTAAGCTGGGCTAGGGGGAAATCCAGACATTGTGTAGGGCTGTGCGTGTGTGTGTGTGCGCGTGCATGCATGCGTGAATAATGAGTTATCCCCTGCTGAGAAAGATCACATTTGGTATTACTTTAACCTCCAAGGAGACAAGCGCATGTGTGGGTGTGTAAAGTTACTGCTGTGGGAAATGAAAATGGAAAAAATATTTGCAAGCATTGACATCAAATGCTTTAAAGAAACGTTGCAGCATTTAAAATCCACTTCAACAAATTAAAAGGATTAAAGACAGAAGCCCTTAAATTTGTTATAAAGGTTAACTATTTTCCGATGGCAACAATAAGTTTGAGTTTTTAAACAAAGAGGTAGCTCTTTATTCTCAATCCTAATTAAATATACAATAAATGACAGAATTCGTTATGTAGATGAAAGAAATTCTGACTTCTAGTATTTCTCTTCAGGATAAAGTTCAAGTCAGTTTTCCATATGTGATGTAGGAACATTAGGATCTAAAACCTAATAACACCCATGTGTAAAATAATGACATAAAGAAACCAACAAGGGAACCTTTTAGACTTTTATTGCTCAAGGCACAAAATGGAAATTGGCACCGAACCAGAAATTAGAAGCATGTTAAGAGGAAACGAGGAGAAGTGAGGAATTACAAAGCTACAAACTTCACTAAGTTCCTCTAAAAAAAATTTCCAAACCCTTTTTATAGACTAACAATCCACAAAAGTCCCACAGAAACACGTCTTTTTCAGTCACAAAGAAAAAAAACAGCAATAGACAGTTGCTCTACTCCTTTTAAGGGACAGGGTGGTAAAACAAACTATGAATCAAGAGCTGTTTCGCCTCTTCTTCAAAAGGGAAAAAAGCCTTTGAGAGTTCAAGAGGCTCTGTGGGATTTTATTTTATTTTTTGTTGTTATTTCTTCTCTGAACAAAAGTGCTGGCAAGAGAAGCGGTGAAACTACATTTCATACAGCTGGTCTGGCACCAGGCCCCAGGCCAAGAAAGGAAATGTACTATTATATATGACTTATTGGAGAGACAAGAGAGCAAAAAGGTTGTGAACGAGAGAAAAAAAGAGGGGGGGAAACAGACCAAACAGAGAAAGGAAAAGAAAGGGGGCAAAGAGCAAGAAAAAAGGGGGTAGGGATAAAGGCATGTTAATGAGCAGGAAAGATTATCGTGACGAAATCCTAGGAAAAATCTGGGAATTCATTACAAATACTGAAGTTATATTTAGTAATAACAGTACAATTGAAATTATAACTAGAGAAATTGCATTTCCTTCAAAAATGCAGTGTGGATGATTATTAATGAAGAACTTTCTTTAAATAAACAGCTGAAAATATCTAAAAACATGCTGAAATGTAGCTGACATGGATGAACAAGCCTAAGTTAGCAGAAAGAACACATATTTGCTGAATTAAGTTTAAATATTGGGGTAGAGGCAGGGCAGCCGACTCCGGACCAGAAAATCCCAGGTTCGATCCCCAGCCATTCCCACATGTTGTGGTGTCTCTGAGCAAGACAACTAATCCCTAATTGCTCCGCTTACATAGCTGCCCACTGCACCACCTGGGTGTATCCCAGGTGTGATAGGTTAAATGCAGAGAACCAACTTCATCATGTATGGGAACATACAATGATGACAACACATGGCATTTGTATATTATAAGCAGAAAAATGAAAATTAGCTAAAAAAGCTGAAAAAATATGTGAAAAGTATCTGAAAAGGCAGAAAGAAGCTTAAATTACAGACAGAAGTGGAAGGAGCTGAACTAAGTAAAAAAAAAAGTGGAATTAGTTGTAAAAGCAAATTTAGCACACAAAAAAAGCTAAATAGTAGCTGAAAAGGCAGAAAAATGCTGAAGCTAGCAGAAATAAGCTGACAGGAGTATAACGAGTCGAAATTTGCAGAAAGAGGTTAATTTGGCTGGAAGTATCAGAAATTACCATGAGAATCTTAAATTAGTCTGCAAACAGCTGAAATTGGCTGAAAAGGTAGAGCAAGCTTAAATTAGCAGAAGAGAGAGCACAACTTTGCCCAATTAGACTCAAGGAAGCAGAAATGAGCACAAGAAAGTGGAAAGTATTTGGAAAAAGCTGAAATTAGTAAAATAAATAAATAAATAAACAAAAGTGCTGAAAAATAGCTAAATGACGAATAAAGACCCTGGAATCCTTGAAAAAAGCAGAAAGCTTAAATTACCAGAAGGAAGTGGAGAGAGCACATTTTTGCTGAATTAGACTGAAAAAGTTTAAAGGAGTGCAAAAAATGTAGAATTAGCATAAAGCTAAAATGAACATAAAAACAGCTAAACAGTGGCCGAAATAGCAGTAAAAGCTAAAACTCACAGAAATATGCTAAAAGGAGTTTATCAAGCTGGAATTAGCAGAAATAAGTTAGAAGAAGCACAAAAATTTTGTAGTTGTAGGAGCACAAAACAGAGAAAAACAGCTGAAATTAGCTGAAAGTAGCTAAAAAAAAGTTTAAATTTGCACAAGGAAGATTCATTCAACCTTTATTTAGACAGGATGAACTGGAACAGAATGTGAAAGGACGAGTAAAAGGTTGTCAACAGATCTGAAGATTTGAAGGATGTAAAATGAGCTCAGTTCATTTACTATGAGGAAAAAAATGGCAGAAAAGGCTAAATATTTTAAAAAGCTAAAGCTGCACCACTACCAAAAGTCATAGCAGGATTGTCCTGAAAGAGCTGAACATTTTCATACATGATTTGTCGAAATAGCTTGAAAACTGCGGGATTAGAATAGTGCCGAAAAACGTTAGGAAGAAAAATGGATCACAAGTGTGAATGCTTCATAAATATTCACACAATATTTATTTATTTATTTATTTTACTGTTGGACGCTCCACAAATATCCAGTTAAAACAAGTAAAGAATAATATTACTGGATATAAACCAGGGAGCACTTTCTGCATCATCTGTGGGAACGAGATGGCTGAATTGGCCTGGGTCAGCTTCATGGAATGTCAAAAAGGGGGCGAAGGGGGTGTGGTGATGGTGGTGAGGGGTGCTGTCGCCAGCCCGGATAATGTAAGAACTGATCCCGGGAAATTACAGAGGCCTTAAATAGTTTTAAACAAAGTTTTGAGTTGTTATGTCAACCATAAAAACAACAACAACAACAAATAAATCAGTCTTGGGACGGTCCTGTCCACAGAATTATTTGCTTTGCCAACAAAAAATTGATGTTTAGATCAAAAACTGCAGTTTGTGAAATGATGTGATTGATTTCCATCCTACTTTTGTTGCCAGTTTTGTTGCTTATCCAGTTATAAATAAGCGCTGAAGTTACAAGGCTGTAACTATGTTTTTTTTCTTTCATTTTATATAAAAAGGTAAAGGAAAACACACCAAACAAATATAGTTTAACTATAATAAAGCCCTCACTGTGACAGATTGGAGCAATTTCAAGCAGTTCCCATATAACTAAGTCATGATTGTGCAACATGATATAATAAGCGCTTGTGATACAATACCAGTAAAGTAGCAATTTCCTCCAAGGCAGAGAAAGAGGTGAGCCTTGGCAGCCTGAGCTTCGGCTGAGAGAAAGCCAGATGTAGTTAATCACGAGAGCCACTCGGGGGCGTACGCTGCACTGACAGGTTCCAGGAAGTGAGGGCGAAAGAGGCAATGTTTTTATGAGGTCAATAAATACTTAACTTTGCCTTTTGCCAATTTATCACCAGGCTGTTGTGTAAGCAGCAAAATTTTATGTTAAACAGGAACAACTCAAATGTGCAATGAAACATTACAAGGGACCAGGTTTTAAATAGATACAGTACCAGTACATGTAATTCCCTGCACAACCGTCTTTGAAATAATGGATCCACACACCGCCCCCTTCCCACCCACCCCCATAAAAAGACAACTTGGCAAAAACAAGGTGACTTTACCAGCAACGTGCTACTCTCATCTGAGTCTTGTGTTACAGGAACAAGCAGAGCGCTACAATCCAAGAAGTGCTTAAGTCACCAAATAAGTGGAAAAAGCCTGCAGGCTGTTCCATTTCAACTATTTCCCACCCATCCATGCTGAAATTAATTTTAGCTGGTGCTGCATTAAAATCACAAGAGTCGCTTCGTGCATTAAAAAAAAAAGTCAAATAAACTATTTAAAGAGCTGGTGGACAAGCCCCCGGGGAAGCAGAAAGCTTACTTTTACAAGCCCGAAAAAAGACTTTTGCAAAAAGTTACATTTTTATTAACTTTAACAGCAAAGGTTAAAAAAAG